CTTTCATGGGCCGGCATCAGATTATTACGACTTGAACGTTTGCTTTGATATCATTATTTAAATTATAAAGAATTCATCAAATGCGAGAGTATTTTATTTCGTAAGAGATACAATAATGCAATCTTTTATACTCGTAGCACAACCGTTGTCCGTGTTTGCGTAACTGTTGTATCAGAAAAATGATTACAATTCGACATCAATGACAATACTGATGGGACTGTGGTGACACAGCTACCTGGTTTATTACGTAGGTAGATTTTTTTATAGTTTCACAAGACGCGTAATTGTTCGAGCGCGTAAATACGTTCGTGCCGAGCTCAGAAATCGTCCAATGAGGAGGGGAGGGGATAAAATTATATGTGTTGCGTTAGGTAAAAAGTCGATAAAAACAAACACGTTAAAATAACCATGATCAAAAAAACCAGGATCGAAAATTAATAAATGCCAACAGGCGTCTGCAAAACTAATTTGTCAGTGAAAATGTGTTCTATCGATGGTCACAATTACAACGATCATCGGTAGTAGATGGAAAATTCAGTAGAAAAAGGCGTAAAATCGAGGAAATTGGCACTGTCAGAACAAAATTATACAACTATATATGCATTTTCAAGTCAGTATAACTTTTATGGAATGAGGACTAGATATTTTCTTAGTAAAGATGTATGTAAATACATCTTAATTAGGGGGAGAGTTAACCCCCCCCACCTTGCGAGCCTGGCAGAACATTACACATTTTCGTCAATTTATTTGTTACCTCAGCGTGGGTACGTCAAAATATTTTCTAATCTCAACATTTGTTTAAAAACTTGGTAACTATATTCCGTCCGCTTCAAACATGTATTCGTCGTGCACGGTACTTACGACGGGGTGTCATTTGAGGGGGGGACAGACTATGGCAAATGCCCCACTCTAAGAAATTTTAAAAAGTCAGCAATTCTTTATCCGATGATCAAGTGCTAAAATCGGTAAATCGTAAATTTTTATTTACTATTTTGCACTCAGATAATGTTCTCCTTAAAATACACGTTCACGGTTTATTAAAAGTTAGGAAACACTGACTCTTCCCCAGTTTATGACAATCATTGTTACGCGAACCTTATTTTTGGTATATTATATATTTCTATATGTGTAATCTTTATAAAACAGTTTTCATGATATCGATACCATAAAAATTGAGCTCATACAGGCGAGTACTGGCCACCGGGATACTGAGAAAATCCCGGTAGGCCCTCTCAAAAATTATAAGACTTGGGCCCCTTACCAAATAGGTACCTGTAGTTTCAGTTAAATTCAGTAATTTTATTATTTTTAACAATTACAATACAATACTGATGGACAGTATAAGTCAACTTCTTAATTTAGTACCTAATAGGGAATGAGTAAAACACGCAATTTTTCGAATAATTTAATTGATTTGCTTTTGGTAAATATGTCTGTTACCATTATTTTGAGTATTAAAATCATTCGATTATTCCTTTTGATTATTCCCGTCACTATTTGCAACATCAACAGCAGAATCGGTAAGTAATGTTGCTAAAGTTCGGCCGAAAAAACGACCTGTATCGACTCGGGAACACGGTAAATTTAAATATATTGCAATTCCTTTAGGCATATTTCCAATTTTGTTTTTTCCAATAACCTACTTGATGCATTAACCGTTTTTGCAACTAAAAAAAAATCCATCTGACGTTACATTTGTGGGTCATAAATCCATGTATTTCTTAAAAATATCACATAACTCCCATTTAATATTAAACGATCGTGTACAATTTGTTTTTGGGTAGAGAAGTTTAGTGTGTAAATCAAGGGTGGATCCAGAGTCGAGGAACTGTGGGTCAAGCCATTTCAAGAGGCCATTTATTAGGGGTAAACAGAATTAGAAATGAATACCTTGAAAAAAAAACACAATATGCTCATAAAAGTGCATAAGTATATTTATATTACATTTTAGAATTAATGATACCACCGATAATGACTTATTTACGATTAATAAATACAATCTAATTTTATCAGCGCAAAAAACGTACGGAATAAAATATGATTTACTTAACTTTCTACTAAAACAATATAATTTAAAATATAAATTATGAATTGAAAAATTTTAAATTTTGAATATACATGGCATTCATTTTTCAAGTAACTCCGATGGGCCAACTGTCCAAGATTCCAAATCAAGGTCTAAAAAGAGAAAAAAATTTCCAAGAGGCCAATTTTGTCAACAAATATTAACTGTGAGTCAGCTGACTCCCTGAACTAGGGGGGGCCCTTAGATCCGCCACTGTGGAACATATATTTCACTAATGAATATTACATGTATCGTAATAAATGAACGGAGAATGAATAGCCAAAAACAATTTTATCTCACCTACCTTTTTACTAAATATTAAATATCAGGAGCTTCGTCAATGAATTTTTTATATAGGTTGAAGTCAAAACTTTGAAATTTTTACTTTTAATCCACTTGATTTTCTCTTTAAAAAAACTTTTAATTTTAAATAAGTACCAACGTTAATAATTTGTATCGTAGTTTTCACGCTTTTAAGCATTAAATAAATAGACCATAGAGTTGACGGTTTAATTTCTATTGATAATTTAATAAAATTTGTTAGAAACACATTTTCCGACAACGATTTGGTTTTATTTATTTTTCTCCATTTTAAAAGTTTTTCATAAGCCATTATATATCTATCGATTTTTCAGGCAATAGATTTAGTGAAACAGCATTTGCCGTTTTAACCATGTATGGTGAAGTTTATGGTTCACCACAACTATTGTACTGATTGTCATCTTTCGTATTTATGCTTGTTTTATAAACTACTAAATGGTTCGATTGTGTGACGTACTCGAGTCGTTTGCAATAAAAAAGAACACTTAACAAGGGGATAAGTAATGAAATTACAACGAATTCGGGATGAACGGGCTAAAAGCGCCACGGTAATATTAACAAAAAAAGTAATAATAAACATGATAGGTAAGTATAAGAATAACAACAAAATCACGTATGCCCCAAACGCGTTGTGATAATATAACAAGACAAATCGCATAAAAACAAATATATTATTTTTAAAAAATATAACGAGAAATGCCTTTGGACGGTTTGACGTTCGAGTGGTTACGCCCACGCGACCGTGTTCACACGTGCGACGAACGCCAAAACCGGCAGATGAATCGGTTGATCAGTGGCGTCGGTCTCGATTTACATTGACTGGCTTCTACGCGCACGACGATTACCGATAGAAAATTTCGCGGACACGGGTCAGCTACGGTTCTTTCACATATGTGTACACGAAACTGTCCCCGGAGATGGCGACTCCAGCAAGTTATGTCGCAACCAAAAAAACACACGGCCGGTGGCACGGGAAAAACGACGAGTCGGACGTCCGCGGAGAAAGTTTTGGCGGAAAAAAGTCCCGGAGTCATGTCGTCCACGGACCGGTGATGATCGTACCGCGATAACGCGCCGATCGAAAATTCTCTCGACCATTGCAACGCCGACACCGTTATCGGGTGCTCCGGTTAACACGAAATGGGATGATTTGAACGGCGACGTGACACTTGCGCGAAAACATAATTTTTATTTCTACAATTTCACTATTTTTTTTTTTTTATTATATTAGTTTTATTATTTTTAAACATTATTAATGAATATATTTAATGTTTATTTATATTGCCTATGCAGGTGTATAGACGTATATTAATATATGCATATCCTAATTATTATGTTTTCTAATTGACAAATGGATCTTAAGTATAAAAACGAAAATGACAGTCACATAGCAATATATGTATAGCATTGAATGTAAATGAGCTACATAAAACACTTAAATATTTAAGAAAATGCTGATGAAAATTTTGCTCGATCATATTTATTAGTTAGCAAATAGCATCCACGTATGAACTTTTCTTAAAATGATAAATGAATTTAGCCTTTTATACTTTGTAACTATCATTATATCTGTTAACAGTAGGAATAAGGAATTCACTTAATACCATATTATAAGATTAAAACGTATGTAAGAATTATGAAAACTACCATTTTTCAATCCACCATGAAAATCTAGGTTCAAGAGTATTATTGGCCATTAATTATACTATTAGTTAAAGATAGCTAATTACTTATTTACGAAATGCATGAAATTATTTTTGCATTTTCTCTTTACTCATTATTTTAGTATCTTGAATATAATATCTTTACATTATAAATAAGACATTTTAATAATAGACAACCATAATACATATTACAAAATAATAATTATTTTCTATTTGTTATGTTCTGAATAGTAATACCAGGAAAACCACTTCATTATAAACTAGATGTGTATTCTAATTGTAATAATATTAATTATATTATTGTAATAATATTGTTTTAATAATATTAAAACAAATAAATAAAAAAAATAGAACAATATTTTACGTCATACAGTGTGGTAAATATTTTATTGTGTATTTAAGTATTATACATTATAACCAAATATTATTTTTAAATTAACATGTTAAGCAATATAATAACATGAAAAAAGACAGATCTATTTACAATTAAAAAATGTTAAAAATCAATAAATATTTTTACTTTACTTTCACAGAGCGAACAAAAGTGGAACGTTATTCGTTTAAAACAATAACAATTATAATTAATTCAAAAATAAAAACAGAAACATTGAGTTTTTTTGTAAATAATACCAATACTATAAGTGTTTAAACCATTCTATAATTGTCTTTTAAATTTATTGTAAAACTGTATATATAAAAATGTTTTTCAAATACACAGTCAACATACAAACAATATTAAATTCATAATATGTATCATTGAACAGATAGTTTCATGAGCGATAAGTTTAATAAAGAAAAAAATAAAAAAAAATAATTAAAATCAAATAAAAGTAGTTAAAATATACATGTATGCATATTTTAATTTTGAATAGCTCCTAATATGAAATATTTGTACTTTATGAGCGTGTAAAATATTTATTTTGTTTGAAACATTTACCAAAATTCATAATCATTTGGAAAAATTAAATTAGCATTTTTTCATTAAATAATTAAAAATCAAATCAAATCAATAATCAACATTTATTATAGATTCTCTTCCTTGACCAACTCCAACCCATTTAACTGAAAAAAAAAACAAAATAACCATTTAAATAAGATAATTCATTTATAAAAATAAAATAAAAAATGTTTATAACCTAGACTTAAGTTTAATGTAAATTCAATTCAGTATCACTAAACTGTTTAATCTATTAAGATATAGTTACATCAAATAATTTAATATAAATAAAAATTTAAAATAAAATAAATAAATTACCAGGTACTTCAAGAAGTTCAGTAATGGCAAAAACAAATTTTCTAGCATTCTCTGGCAAATCATCAAAATGCCTTATACCACTAATGTTTGTTTTCCAACCAGGCAAAGTTAAATATTTAACCTAAATAAACAAATTCATAAAAGGGGATATAATACACAATTTCACTCATGGCACTATCTACTATAATAGTAATTGTGGTAATTTGATATGTACCTCAGCCAACGATAGTTCAGACAAACTGGACGGATAATAATTGAGTGTTTTTCCATTTAACTGATATTCAATTCCAATTTTAACTTCATCAAAAGTATCTAATATGTCAAGTTTGGTCAAACAAATTCTAAAAAAAAATAATTTTTATTAATATTTTGTTATTTCAGGTTTGGTAAAAAAGTACTATGTACTGGCATATTTAAAATTATGATAAAACATTTGATTAATAATAAATGTAATGCAGATTCAATAAAAATGCACTCAATGTTTGAGGCATAAAAATATAAATTTATCCTATAGATTTTTATCTCAAAATATTATAATCTTAAATGTAAAACCACATGTGTGCAAACTTCAGAACAATTGTGAACCAATAAAGAAATTTAATAAACTGTTGCATATTACAAAAAAACAATAGAGCAATTTATATCTTACACACATTTAAACACCATAATATAAAACAATATTGCTATTAGTATGGTTTAAATTTGTTATATTGGTTTAAAAACTAACACATATAAATCTTACCAATGGTTAAAAATATTTATAAATGTTTTATACACATTTTTAATTTTTCTATTGAATTCTAAGCTTGAAAGTTAATTTTAGTTGGTATGAAACATTTAAGTAAATAAAAAATAAATTGCTTAACTATTGCCAAATGCTCTCAATGGAAAATATATTTTTAATTTGTCTATTATACATTAAAGAATATACAACTTTAAATCTAACCAGACACACATAAACAGTATATTATGCGTAATGTACATACATAATATTCAGCAATAATATATATTTTACTAAAGATTTTTGAATATTCATAACTTTCTATTAATATTCCACTCATTTTACTCATTAGTTTAATGCATAATTTTGGTGAGAAAATAAGAAACTTCAGTTAAATGTTGTTTTTTTAATAAATGTTAATATATTCAAATCAACTATAAGTAAAAAAAAATATAGTTAAGATGCTTTATTTTAGATTCAGATATTGAACATTTTTAATTTACTAATATTTTATATGACAAATTTGATGCCTAGAAGTTATACTTATATGAGATTTAAGATTAAATTATTCAAATTATTATGAAGACGTTTATAACTGCATTTATAACAGTACTTTGCCAATTGTAAAAATATCTAAATATGTTAAAATTAAAAAGTGTCTCTGAATAATAAAATATGTATATATATAATATATTATAATAAATAATTATTAATTATACATATATATTTAATTTTTATATTATTTAGAAAAATACATACTTAGTATATCCATTAACCATAGATGTATATTTAAGCAGTGGGATGTCCAACCAACCACAACGACGTTTACGCTTAGTTGTAACACCAATTTCGTTTCCAATATCCTGGAGTTTCTCACCAACTTCCTAAAATTAATTTCAATTATTAAATTTTGAAATAATCTTAATATGAATGTACATATATTCTCAAGACAAGTAAATAAACATTTTTGTTTGTATTTTAACTTATTTTAGAACTTATACAAGATGGATAAACGACTGGAACTCGGAAACGGAATCAAATTGGGATCTTGGAATCTAAGAACCTTTAACAAACCAGGAGCACCGCAATGTGTCCTGAATGTAGCTGAGGTATACGAAATACAGTTATTAGCACTCAAAGAAATTATATGGCTAAATAAGGGGACCCTAAAAAAGGAGAACATGACCCTTTTCTATAATGGCTCAGATAACAAAAAACACAAAAACAATGTTGGGATTATGATTCATGATAGTATACTACCGCAAGTAAAAATCTTTAAAGCAATTAATGATAGACTATGTTACATCATTTTAAAAGGAAGAATATTCGAAATGGGAATTATATGCTGTTATGGACCAACTGAGGATGGACAGGATGAAAAGAAAGAGGAATTTATGGAAGAACTCGACAGAACATATGACGATATCCCGAAACACTGCATAAAGGTGCTGCTAGGTGACTTTAATGCCAAATTAGGAAGAGAAGGGACATATAAACCTACCATAGGCTCTGAAAACCTCCACCACATCAGTAACGACAATGGAACTAGGCTAATAAATATGGCAATCGCGAAAGAGCCGACTATCAGCAGTACTTCCCTCGAAAAGACATACACAAACAAACATGGATATTTCCAGATGGACACACAAAAAATCAAATAGACCATGTATTAATAGATAAAAAACACAAAGGATACATTAATAACGTAAGGAGCTAGAGAGGCGCGGATACTGATTCTGACCATTATCTATTAATAACACAGTTCAAGCTAAGACTATCATGTTGATGGAGGAGAAAAAACACGGAAACTAAACTATTCAATATAGGAAAACTCAAAAACAAAGAAATAGCCAAAAAATACGAACACTTAATTCAGAACAAATTAGCACAAAACACAGGCATACATGGGGAAAATGAGGTTGAAAACCAATGGAGTAGAGTAACACAAGTAATAAAGGAATGCACCACAGACGTGGTCGGATGGACAGAGAAACAAAGAGAAAATACTGGTTTAATGACAAATGCCGAGAATCAATTGCAAAAAGAACTAAACTAAGATACAAAATAATTCAGAGGAAAATAGGAAAGAATATGAACAGGGAAGAAAAGAAACTCATGCAATCCTTAGAAGAGAAAAAAGACTTTATATGAAAGAGTTAATTACAACTGTAGAAGAGAATAGAAAAAATCCAAGACAGTTCTTTGAAAGAAGTAGAAGGATTAAACAAGGATTTAAACCACAGACAAATATGATGATAAACGATAACAAAGAACTAGTAACTGACAAAAAAGAAATAGCAGAGATGTTTAAAACCCATTTTGAGAACCTCCTGAATAGACCCGAAAGTATATCAGATGAGAGAGAAGACATTATGATTACTGAAGAACCTAATATAGTAGAACCCACTAGAGAAGAAATAGCAAATATAATAAACTCACTTAAAAACAATAAATCACCGGGAGAAGACCAGATAACAGCAGAGCTATTGAAACAAATGGTGGATGATGTACATAAGGTAATTATAGAAATCTGGAAAACAGAAACCATGCCAGAGGAATGGAACACAGCAATCCTTTGCCCAATATACAAAAAAGGAGACCCAATGTTACCTGAGAACTACAGAGGGATATCTTTACTACACACAGGCTACAAAATACTAACAACGCTCATAATGGAACGATTAAACCCTTGTGTAACAGACATAATAGGGGATCACCAATGCGGATTCAGTAAGGGTAAATTGACCATAGACCATATACACACAATTCGATAAATAGCAGAAAAACATTATGAGTATAACAAAGGATCTGCATTAAGTATTTGTAGATTTTAAACAAGCATACAATTCAATAAGCAGAAATAAACTATGGAAAACAATGGAAAACTTTGGAATACCCCAAAAATATATAGCTCTAGTCAAAATGTGCAATAGTAACACCAACCTTAAAGTACGATTCTGGCAAGAAAAGTCAACGCAATTTAAAGTACAGACTGGCCTCCACCAGGGCTATCCAACATAGCCCTGGAGAAAGTGGTAAGGGATATGTCAGAAGATCGAAAAATGAACCTCGCTGAACTGAATGTTCTATTGGCATATGCTGATGACATAGTCATAATGGGAAACTCAAGAGATAATGTTATACAAACCACTCGAAAACTTCTGAGGACGAGCAAGAGGATGGGATTAGAACCAACAGAAAACCAAATATATGATTGATGATACTGTTTGTATGTCACAAACAGATACAGATAATTCAGATCTAGAGGTAGATAATCTTACCTTCGAAAAAGTTAATGAATACACATACCTCGGGGTAAACATGAACAGTACAAATATTATGCATGATGAAATTAAAAATAAATTAACAAGTGCTAAACAAGTGTTATTTTAGTTTATTAAAACTACTTAAATCAAAGCATCTATCTTATGAATCAAAAAAAATCCTATACACCAGTTACATTAGACCAATCCTAACATATGGATGTGAGACATGGTCAACCACCAGAGAAACTACCAGAGCCTAATTACCTTTGAAAGAAAAATATTAAGAAAAATGTATGGCCCTCTATATAACAGAGAAACAGAGCAATTTGAAAGAAGACATAATAATGAATTACAGGAGCTATACGGAAGACCAAATATTCTGTCATATACAAGGAGCAAAAGGCTCGAATGGTTAGGACACGTATGGAGGGCGGATGGCTGAATTATTAAACAATCTCTGATGGCTAAAATAACAGGTAAAAGACCTCTGGGCAGGCCCAGAACAAGATAGGATTCAGTCGTGAAGGATCTAAGAGTACTCAAGAAAGGGCTCAGTTAGACGTAGCGTACAATAGGGAAGAATGGAATAAGTTTGTGATGGCAGCGTTGGACCTCAATGGTCCCTTAAGCTGTATATGATGATGATGATCATACAAAATTGAACATAAAAATATTATAAAAAAAACAAAAAATTTTTTGTACCTATTTAATTATAATTAATACTATAGTTTATACATATATATTTGTTTAAACTTACATTTATCATTTCAGTGGGAAATGGACCATCGCCAACTCTTGTAGTATATGCTTTAACAACTCCAATAACATCACCAATCGCAGAGGGAGGTAAGCCAAGACCAGTGCAAACACCACCAATACTACAATTTGATGATGTTACATATGGATAAGTACCTATGTAAATATGAAAGTAAAATAAATATTTAATTAATTTACATACCATCAAATATATGGTTTTCAAAACTATATAATTACCAAAATCAATATCTAACATAGCAGCATTAGCACCTTCCACCAAAATACGTTTTCCTTCTTTTAATGCGGAATGCAAATATCCAACTGTCTCTACAACTAATGGCCTTAATTCATTAGCATAATATTCATATTTTTTTAGTTCTTCTTCAGTATTAACTTCTAAAGATGGGAACATTCGTTTATGTACATCAACCAAGTTGTAAAATCTTTAAACATAAAATATAATTTTAACACATGATTTAAAAAATATTTATTTAATCAATTTCAATAGACTATTATTAACTAGTGATTAAATGGTTTTTGAATTATCTAAACAAAGTTACTTAAGGCCCAATAATAAAACACCAACTATATTCATAATTTTTTTTTGTAAATTATTAAATAAGGTAAATATACATGTTCAAAAGATATATACATACATACATCAATCTATTTATACACTAATCAAATTATGTTTAACAAAATGATTACTATGAAATAAACCCAATCACTAACCTTAGTAACTCAAATTAGCTGTTAATATTTCTAATAATAGTTAACGACTTGATAAACTCAATTAAAAAAAAAAAAAAAAAAAAATGAATGTTAGTACAAAAATTAAGTGACTTTATCTAAATTGATAATGGAAGCCTTTACAACCTTGATAAAGTTTAAGATATAAATACATTCAATATTTGTAACATTATTATATAATGAATAAAATAATAAATGATATTTTATAGAATTTGTATGTCAATATCATTTAAAATGCTCTTTTTTAAACAAATCATCAAGACAGTTATATCCTACAGTACAAACGGAAAAAAAATAAAATAAAATATTTTAATTCTATGAACTTGACTTTATATCAATATGTAATCCATTACAGGACCTAACGTAATGTTTTCAATTATTCTATTAAAATATATATAAAAAATGAACTAACTTTTCTTTGAATGAGTTGAAATCCCCAAGCAAATCAGCTAATCTTAAACCATTTCTAGTTGCCTTAGAAGCATAAGTAGGTCCAATACCTTTTTTTGTAGTTCCCAAAGACTTTTTTCCTTTTTCCATTTCTTGGAGACCATCCACTTGCTATAAATAAAAGTTGTTGATAAATTATTATTATAAAAATACATAAAATTATATCTTATGGAGTTAAAATCTAGTGACCCTTTAACCTTTTAATGTCTTGGTATATTCAGTTTTATAAAGATAGATTATTTTCAAGTTAGACTTATTTAACTATAAATACTTAAAAAATGATAATTGTTTTAAGGTATAATAGAATATTAATATATAACATGAAATGAATATCTTTATAAAAACAATTGTCATTTAGAAGTGCATGCAATAAAACATTATTTAAAATGGTACCAGACACGCACAAATACAAAAATGATCATAATAGCATAGTAAAATAAGGTCATGACTAAAGTAATTACATAAATATTAAATACTACTTTTCATAAACAAAAAAAGCCATAAATATAAAAATTCATACATCTGAAATACCTTAAATATTTAAGAAATGACATTTATTATCTAGTAAGTTACAACTATAATGCATAAATGTCTAAAAATATGACATTGTAGCAACAATGACATTGTTTCAGACACTTAAGTGTTGTTAAATAGATAAATATATAATTAAAATATTAAGGTATCTAGTGCAAGTATACTAATCGTGAACATCCCAGTACTTGAAAATAACTTTATGGTTCATATAAATTTAGTTATATAGTAAATAAAGTAAAGTTAATGTTAAAATTAAATACAACTGTGCTTATTAAAATTCCTGTTCAATCAAATATTCAACATCAAATAAAAATTAATATTACAATTTATAATATCATATTTATATTACAATATTTTTATTTATTCTGCAATTTGTACCTGATGAAAATCAAACACAAGATGAGCACGATCAGAAATCAACAATCGTTTCTTCCAATCCAATAGACCTTTCTTCTCATTTTTACTGCATTCATCAAATAATCCAGGGAGATGAATAACAACTCCATTGCCTATTACATTTTTAACATACAATATAATTGTTATTTAATACTAATTTTCAATAGTTTAGAATTTAAAAGTAAAATTTTACATTAGATATAAAAATGTAAGTTAGTTCCAAAATGTTGCGCCTACATGAGTTCTATTTTTAAAAATTATAAAATTTTAATTGTTTGTTATTTTGAAGCTATTCAATTATATAAAAACGTAGTTACCCATTTTTGTATGTAGCTAAAAAAATATGTTCAAGCAAGCAAGCAAAAATGTTGACTATTATATTGAACTAATATTAATAAAATATTAATACAATAAAGACCAATTTATTATACACTATATTTTATTATTATATCTGCGTTTAATATCTAATGAAAACAACAGTTTTATATCAGATAAACTATATAAAGCCATGCAAGATTTGAATAATTGTAAATGAAATTTTAAAAAAAATATATTTCTTACCAATAACAGATTTACAATTTGGATTGATGATTCCACTAGGCAACAAATGAAAATCAAATTCCTTATTGTCCACTACAACAGTATGACCTGCATTGTTACCTCCCTAGGACAAAATTTTAATATCAATATTAATAACTGACATAACTGTCAAGTCCTACAACAATTTTAAGTCTATCAAAATCGTTAATGTTTATTTATTTTATTTATTTTTAATACCTAGTTTATCAATTATATTTGATAGCAATTATAAAAATACAAGATAGATGCTAACGTACAAATTATTTATCATTAAAGTCCGGATTTGAAGGCAAAAAGTATTTAAAATATAAAAAAAAGCTAAAGGAAAACATATAATTTATATAAAAAAACAATTATAAAATGTATTAAAAAATTTAATAGGTTTAAGATTTCAGTTACATTAACTAGTTAATATTAAAAAAAAATGTACTGCCATGAACTTAGATGAACTTTCCACAGTAAAATGTTGACAGTTTGGACTCAAAATATTAATAGTACATAGAGAATGATCTTTCTATGTCCACCGATTTTATCGGGGCGTATTTCATACATAAATAATTATCTAAGATTACTACTTTGTCATCGTTCGCTGTTTCTCTAATAATTACTTGATTGATTTTTTTTCTTAAATTAACTTGAAATATACTTTTTTAATCTCGACGATAACAAATCCCATTAAAACTTATTTTAAAGATAACATGGATATTTTTTTTCAAGCTGTTATGTTAATATGTATAGAAAACTATTAGATCAATTAAGAGTTGAACACATAAATTAAAAAAATTAAAAAATCAAAAAGGCATTAATAGAAAAAAAGGCATAAAAAAAATAATGTTCACCCATTAACTAAGAAATTAAATGAAGAACATTTTAATTTAAAAATATTTTTTATTTTTACCCAAAAGAAAAAAAGGCATTTAAATTTAACATTTAAATCCGAATTCTATTTATTAGACTTGGATATAACTTAATAAAATGTAATACAGCCGTTAAAAAGCTACCAAAATGATAAATTCAAAACCTCATAGTGTATAGTAAAGTATAGTATAGTATAGTGTATAGTGTTATAGAAAACTAAATGCATTAACCGACCCAATAAGCAATACGTTTGGGGGACACTTTGGTAACGTATGGAAAAAAAGGTAGATGCAAGTTGATATCATAATATTTATCATTTGCATTTAACTCAGTTACACAATACTTAACAGCAGTAAGCGTGTGAGTATGTGTTTGAGGTAATAAAACTCATTGCCATCGTACAATGTATTCAAGCCAAAGGGTTAGGACACAAAAAAAATAAAATGTAAAGTAATTTTTCATCGAAGGTGACAAGGCAAAGTAAATGTATAAAAAGAACACCTATGTTGGCGGCACGCAACGGCGTGAAAAATAATAAGTACTAAGAAAATAATTCGGGCCAAAAAGGCATTGGAGAAGAAAATGCAAAATTATTTTGGCACTTTGCACGGCTCGTCTTATTTAAATATTTTTTTTCTTTCGTTTCGCGACGAGCGTCCCCGCGTCCCGGTTCCGCACGCCCCTAACTTCATGGGCGAAGGTAACGGACGAAAAAAACATAATAGATCGCGTCCGGCAACAACCTTGAAAGTTATTACTGTTGTTGTTGTTGTCGCAATCGAAGACGGGACGGCCGTCAAAATCCTGTGCGGCCCCGTCGGACTTTTTAGTGGGACGCGCGCGCCGCCTCGGCTCTTGCCTACAAGACGACGGAACGACGTCGCGAGAAACAGGCAAAACGAACGACTCACCGATCACCGACGAGAAGTACGGTCGGACACGAGGTACAACAAAAATCATAATAAACAACGAAACGTATCAACGATAATTGCAATAACGGGTTACCTGACACCGGCACACGAGGTCTACGTCGGTGGCCAACATGTCGACCACTTTGCCCTTGCCCTCGTCGCCCCATTGGGCGCCCAGCACCACGGTCACCTTGTTGGCGGCTTTTCTCTCGACGTCGCCGTTGGACATGATCGACGTGGGGTTCGGAAAACGTGTGAACGAAATAAACAACTGGCGACTTACCGAGTATCCGGACGACGTCTGGACGTCGTAGGTGCGCGCGAAATTCGACGAGACTCGATCGATGTTAAACGTGTTATGCGCGTGATGTCGACGGCCGGCCGGTCATTTCGCACGAGGATCGGTGTCCCCGGTGTGTTTCGACAGCAGCGCCGGAGCAACGACGGTCGGTGTGTGCACCGGACAAACGACTAAACGACGAGGACCGCGCGCGCGAACCGTCGACAGCAGCGGCCGCGGTGCGCGGTTGACCGACCTGGCGGAGCGGAAACGGGGAGGGGTCGGATGGCGCGCGGTGGCATCGCCGGTAGGTACCGTCCCGTGCGTGCGTGCGTGCGTTCGGTATTCGCGCCGCCGCGTGCGCGAAAGAAGACGATGGTGATGACGCGCGCGCGCGCGCGCGCGAGAGAGAGAGAACGATAGCGAGCGAGTGCGCGTGCGGGGTGAGAGAAACGCTCTTCGAACCTATTACTATTATTGCCGTTGCACACGCACGGCACGATTGCGCGCGCACCGCGTAACCCGGGTGCGTCGTCGTTGACGTTCAAAAACCCATGGCCGACGCACAACACTGCCGGTTCGGTCCGGCGGCGCCGGTGTGCTTTCAACGTAAAAGTCCGATTCGATCGGCTTCGCCCGTCCCGCGCGCACACATGGTTTCCACGTTATCACCGACAGCTGTTGTTATCAAGTGCCGTCGACATGGACCGGCGTCTCCGCCGACCGCGTTCGGGCGGGAGATCGAAAACGGTCGTGATTCCCGCGAAACGAGACGCGCCTTACCGCGGCTGGATGGAAGAGAAAAAGAAACGGAACGGACAAATGCGCCTCGCGCGCAGTGCAACCACGTCCGGTATTCACGCATTTGTTGCGCGCTCCAATTTCCGCTCGGCGATCGTTTTCACGCGTTCGGCCGCTCCGCGACGGTTTTTTTCTTCCCTCCGCCCCCGCCGAACATCGCCCCCCCCCCCCCCCCCCCCCCCTGCCATCGATTCGTAAATGTTCGCGCGATCACGTCCGGCTGTTCGTCTCGTCGTGCGGAATTTCCACTTGTTCACGTCGCGGCCGTTGGTGGTGCATTTCGTGCAACTAACCGACCTAACTGTTTCCGGTACCGTTTCTGACCCGCGGATTTGTTCTTGACATCCGTTTTACTCTAGCCATGTGCTATTCGATCAAAACGATTTTTTTTTTTAGATTATTATACGTATCCCGTAAATTATTATTCGTTAATAATAACATCGTGTTTTTTAAAAAAAAAAATAAAAACTCCCGCTTTTTAACAACACAAAAAGGCTAAAATATACGTCCAAGTGCAAATATTATTTTCGTTTTCGTCGGGTTAGATACTTATACCTTTTCTTCGTAATTTTTAATCAAAACACTGAGCAAAATTTCAAACAACGAAGTTTTGTAGTCATCGTTCAATCACCAATATGATATACTTTCAAGTTATTTCAATTTATAATTAGGTAGCACGAACAAATTTATCAAAATAATACATAAATTACGCATTTGTTATGTCATATATTTGTATATTTTAAACCTCGTGATCAGAAAATGTCTGTTGACAGGACTGTCCCGAAGATGAAAATCAAGGGGAGGTGAATAATATGAAAAATGCAGACTACGATTTTTTACTCAATGTATGTAATATAACTAACTATATGTAATCGTATTTTTACTTTTTAACATGTGTATATGTGTCAGTGTCGCACGTTCTTAAAATTAACAATTTAATTCTATATATATTTGTTTTCTGTGAGTAAAATTAGGTCCTTCTAGGTTACAGTAAAAACTGTATAAAACGGAATCGCATGGAACCAACAAAAATTCCGCTTTAAGCAGTATCTTTATTCAATAAAAACGAAAAAATTCCGGATTATTCAATTATCCTTTTATACTCATATCCATCAGTTGATATTTTTCATAGACACTTATATTTTGGAATTTTAATATTTAATACGATGAACGAAGAATATATTAAAAGTGTACGTACGACTATTGGTGTATGACTGTTTCACAGTTACAAAGAAGAAAGTTCATATCGTTTATACGATAATATGCATTGTACGAATATGTATAGAAAAATTTTATCTTCTTTATCTATCACTATTTTAACGATGTACATACAACGATGTGTATATCTATATTTTATACATTATTTTTGGTTTATAGTACACACGCGCGTGTCATTTTTCCGGATTATGCAAGGTTTTTACTTGCATGGAACTTACAAAATCGTTCTGTTTTCGCGTTTAAGAAGGTTCCGTTTTATTGAGGTTTCAGCGTCTATATAAAACTATAGGAACGTGCCGGGACCATAGAAAAATTCCGTATTGGATAGTTTTCCGTTTTATTTAGGGTCCGCTTTAGACAATTAGTTTGGTTTACTGTATAATGAAACAAGTTCCCTTCGGGACGGCCCTGTCTGTTAACTCTTAATGTATACGTCAAGGTATGCAAATCAAAATTTTATTACGAAGTTATTTATTTCGGAAATTTTTTCTTAATTATAGAGGTATTTAATTTTTATTTTTAATTTAAAATATGTAGTAGCCTAAATTAAAATCAATAATATTATTAAAATATAAATAATTACATATAAGAATTTGTGGGAATGTATGGAAAATACTCAAAGTCATTAGTTTTAATATTAAATCGTTTAATTTATAATTTAAAACAAATAACCATAATGATTGAATACAAATTACAATTTAATGTTGTCTTTTGAAACACAATAATTGTAAAACTATTTGTCGAAGTAACTTGGACGTTGTTTGTTCCTTCTGTCACCGAATACCGAATAATATCCAGTAACACGACTTAAAGACGATTGTCTTATAAAATCATTAGAATGTAATGTAAAAAATAATTTATAAATTATTTTAACAAAAAAAAAAACGTTTGCAGGAGCGTGTTTAGATTTTGGGTGTTCAACCCTCCCTCTCCAGAAATTTCAACGAATTTAGAAAAAAAGGATTTTTTAATATTTTTATACAAATTAAGTTTAATATCAAAAACATTTATCAGAGTTATTTATATGCTCAATTAATCCATTTAACAATTATTCAAAATAAATAATTCATCTATAAATATACTAAAGTATGACAATAGTACTACAGCACTATAAAATTAATTATTACCAAAATTATTATTATGTGTAATAAATAAATTTGAAATACGTGATAGTAAGAAAAATGAACCACTCCTCCTTCGAAAAAAAAAATTTTAGACACGTCCAAGTAAGTTTGATATAATCAGTGGCGTACATACAGGGGGTTCCGGGTTCAAACCCCAGGGCCATAAAAAAAAGAAAAAGAAAATTGTTTTATTATTGATGACGTGTTATATATTTGTAGTTTTATTATTACGCTTTGAACTTAAAATATACAACTACACAAATGCTATGATAATTAAATAATTATATTGATAGGTGTTAGAAAAGTTTTGTTAACTATGCTGTTTTTATATTCCAATAGCTATTAATTTACTGTAATGTAAAAGTAAACTGTAAATAGGTAAAAAAGTTGTATAAAATAATATCTATTTATAACAGTTAGTTATCTTATTTACCTGTGCAACGAAAAAAAAAGAACGATTATTTTTGTTACCCCCCCCCCCCCCAGAGCAAGATTGAATGTACACTATTGGGTATAATGAATATATATAGAAGTCTACAATATTCTATTATCTTTAGCAGGGATGCAGGGCCGGCCTTAGCTCTTTCAGCTCTCGGTGCAAGAATTATTTTGGCAATCTTAAATGACTCAAACATATAACTAAAACAGGCGCAGTTTTGGTAACTAGAGGTGCCTCGTTATATATACCTGTATTACGAGCCACGTTCATAATCATAAATGCTCAAAATAATTTTTCAAACGTACATGTTTGCCACATATATGTAAATCATTCAGATAACAAACATAATAATACTTGAAATAATTTAATGATAGTTTATAAAACTGTAATTGTAAAAGTAGCCTATCCTTGCATGCAGTGCCGCAACTACACACTATGGGATTGGTATACAAATCTGAATTTGGGGCCTAAATATTTTTTCAAAAAAATATTTACCTACTATAAATAAAATATGTTAATCGGTATTTATATTATGGAAAGTAGACTAGTGGATCTTTAATTTTAAATTACCTGCATTAATGTAGACCTGCATTATTTTTTGCTATTTCTGTTCTAAGAATTAATATTACCATAGAATTATAAATACTTTAGCAATATAATAGTATTTATAATCAATGGTATTGTATTTGGTCATTGGCAACTAGTTAGTAATCGGGTATGTTATTTGATTATAAATATTTAATAATATGATAAATCCATTTTTTACATTTATTAATTTACTTCAGTTAAAATGTCTATAATAATACATCGTATTTTATCGTGTTTCGGGGCCTATAACGGTTTGGGGGTCGATGTGCCATGCATACCTTGCTCACCCGGTAATTGCGGCACTGCTTGCATGTCGATAGAATAATAATTAATGATAATTATAATAGTAATCAAATTTATATTGAATCATATCGTGACATTTTGTTCTATCTATAGTAGATGATTTGTGTCGCCAACGGTTGATCAAATTTAATTTTAACTTTGACGCCTCTCACGCACCCTTCTGATTTTGGCGCCCTGTTCCATCGTACGTTCAGATCGTATTTAAAGCCGGCCCTGCAGGGATGGGGCAACTGGCACAACTACAAATTTTACTAAACTTCATAAATGGATATTAATAAAATTACGTTATAATTAATATGCGTGGTATTAAATTAACAATAGTTTTGAAACAAAAATTCCCAGTAGGGGCAATGGCCCCTTTGGCCCCCCCTGCGGGCGCGCCCATGACCAAGTTTTTATTTAACAGATGAATCCATAATTTTTTTTATTTTTTTTTATGATTCTGTTCTAAATTTTGTTATGTGTACCATATGCAAATTGCAACAACTTCATTAGATGACATGATGATAACTGATTTTGTATTGTCTAGGTTAGTGTACACTTTATAAAAACAAATTGTTTTTAGTGGACTAACACGAAAATGACCAACTCTGTCTAACGCAGTTTTGCTCTTTTGGTGTGCAATCGGCCTATGACAATCGACGAAACAATTCCTAACAACCCGTGATAAATTGATAACATTTTACAACAATGTAAATACAATAGTAAACAGAAATCCAATTCTAAAAATAGAACGCACTATCAACGTACTATTTAAACCACGGACTAAGGTTGCTAAGATCTTAAGTCCGTGATGTAAATACACAGCTTTATTTGTCGTGTCCTTTCATAGTTTATTCGTATTTTGATTCGTCTTTGCAATCATGAACCATGGTATCAGTCAGTAACGTGAATTTTATACCTTAATATATAATA